AAGAACAACAAATTTCGGCTGTCTTCCTGTTCCCAAGGAGATTTTGCCCTTTTGGGTTTATTAATGGACCCCCCCCGCCACAGGCACCCTCGCTGATCTCTATAAATACCCACAAAGAGTCACATCATCCTGGGCACAGAGAGAACCGCTGATATCTGTGTTCCTGTCCTCTGAAGATGCCGGTCACAGATGCTGGCGAAACGTTAGGAACCAAAACTTCCAGAACACGGCCACACAGCCCAGAAGACCCACATCGGCCATCGTATTCCGGCTGTGAAAGCCTTCGACAATATATTAACTGGCTGTATTCACAAAACAACAACAACAAAAAAAAAACCACGATGAAGAGTGCATCAATTTAGAATTCACAGGCCTGTTGCCAGCCTTGGAAAAGTGCAAACAGGATATCTTCTGAGACATCCATTTTTCAATTCTGATAATTTTGAGTATGAAATAGAAAATCGCAAGCCCACCCTTCCTTTTGCTGCTAAACTGAAGACCAACTTCAGAAGACTAACTGTAAAGAGGCCGATTGCGCTTGGCTAAGGAAGCATGAGTTGCTGATACTTTCTTTAGAACTTTTCTATCTTTTTGTGGCTTTTCTAGGATTTTCAGGACCTTATCAATCCAAACTTCTGTTTGGCTGGGAACCTTAAATAAATTTTGCCCAACCAGATCAGGAACAGCCTTAACTATTTTATTGGTAACTTGTAGCCAATGTGTCAGGATCTCTTAGCTGGACTGATCCTTTCCTTCACACCTTTGCATTTGTTGTTTGGTTCATTGTTTCCATAGAAATAATTCTCCAGGTGGTGTCCCAGAAATGATTTTTAAATTAATTTCAATTTTAATTCTATGTTTGTACCAAACTTTGACAAGGGAAATGTATAGATCTCATTGGGTGGTTTGATGGTACAGAATGCAGTAAATTTTGCTGATGCTAAGTAAATCCAGTTTCTTTAGATATTGAATCAGTGTTAGCCTATGAATTTGAGCCACAGTTGACAAATAAGGTCACATATGTTTGTGACCATATATGGAAGCGAAGTCAGCCTGGTTTTCCCAGGCTATGCTTGATATTATGCATGACTGCCTTTTTTCTATGAATTGTTAATATGTTCTGAAATTTACTTAGGGACAGGCAAATATTTGGTGTATTATTCCCTAAATTTGCTGGAATAGCTTTCACAGGCTGGAATTCTGAACCCCAGATTCTATGGTGGCAACTGACCCAGCACAGCTGTGTTCACATAGCATACTTAACCAGTTCAGGTAAAAACCTCATAGATACATTTGTCACAATGTGCTAATTTTGGTTTGTGTTAACTTTAGTTAGATTATTTTTGTGGCTCAGCCGTGTTATATGAATTTATTTGATTAATTTTGATTCAGTGTATTGTGTGACCTAGAAAATGGGTTAATTCATAACCAGGTTAAGCCTGTTTTGTGAACAGTCTGTCAATCATGAAGAGGAAATAGTGTTAACACTTCAACCCTAGCCCACAGAGCTATTCCAAAATTATATGCTCATAAATGAAATCACAACTGTTACATTAATTGATAAAAAAATCCTATGTAAATCCAAAGCATCACGTCTTCCAGTGACTTTGTGCCATCCATACCCCCTCCTAGTCATTTGACTCACCTTTGTATGCCAGCAGCAATCTCAGATGCATTGATGAATCATCTGGCAGCTTTTTATTAGTCCTTCTCCACTACAAAGGAGGTTCAGAGGTGGCCACTTCCCTCCTCAGCTTCAGACCCTTATATTTTTTCTTTCCATTGGCAAAAAATCCATGGTGGTGCATTGGTGAGATTTGGGGGTTATATCTACAATCAACTATTTCTGTCCCTTGTGTGTGCCTTGGACAGTGAATACCAAAACCATCACAGTGATGGAGTGCCTTGAGGCCTCTCAAGGACTGTCTCAACTGCAGATGTTAGATGCTAACTGTCTGGTATATAATTCGCACAACATAGGTAGGGGTTATTACTTGATGAGGTAGATTTGGTGGAACCCTGGGCAAGGCAGACTCTATTTGGGGTTAAATCTAAGCTCCAGGGTTAGCTGCCTGGGTTAACTTATGCTTTCAGATATTCACACTGCATATTAGCCTCTTCTATCATTGATCCATATAAGCATATTGTAGGAATAGGGTCTGTATCCAACTAAGAATTTGTATCCTACTAAGCCCATTATGAGGAAAAATCTTGCTTGTTCTTCCTTCTTCTTTTGAAATAGGAAGAACATGTAACAAAGAGTAAAGTCTTTCCCTCTGTAGCCCTTCAGGTTTGGAATGCTTAGCTTGACTGGGTTAAGTTCTGCTGGTGAATTTATATTGCGAGGAGCATCTATTTTCTAGAGGAGAATGTGAAAAAACCCTCCTTGTGGCAGTTAAACTGAGTTTTGGAGTTATTTCAGATCTTAGTTCTGATACATTCTAAAATAATGTGCATTTCTCTCATTAAGAAACAGATGCCTGCTCTTTGGTAGAAGCAAAAGGATAACTCTGTTATTAAAATAAGAAATAATAATTGCTAAATGTGCTAGCGGGGACGTGGTGGCACAGCGGCTTAATGACGCTGAAAGCTGCCGGCCAGAAATGGTCGACACTTCAGCGGGTCGAGCCCAGCCTTCGCGCCGCAGAGTGAGCGACCGCCTCCTCCCCCGCTCCT